ATATGCAGATATAGGGTTACAAATAGGATCATTATGGACACGGGTCAAATCTGAATAACAAGATGATGAAGGAGTTATGCGATAATTTCAAAATCGAGCATCATAATTCCTCACCATATCGACCCAAGATGAACGAAGCCGTTGAAGCTGCCAATAAAAACCTCAAGAAAATGATTCATAAAATGGTGAAGATGTATAAATATTGGAATGAAATGCTTCCCTTTGCACTACATGGCTATCGTACTTCCGTATGCACATCGACAGGTGCAACTCCTTTCTCGCTAATGTACGACATGGAGATAGTACTCCCTATTGAAATAGAAATCTCATCACTTCGAGTTCTAATGGAAACAAAACTTGAAGAAGCAGAGTGGGTACAAACACGATTTGATCAACTCAACCTCATCGAAGAGAAAGTCTTGACACCTTTGTGCCATGACCAGCTATATCAGAAGGGGATAAAGAAATCATTCGATAAGAAATTTTACCCTGGAGTTTTCAAAGAAGGGGATTTGGTTCTCAAGAAGATTTTGCTATCTCGCCTCGATTCACGTGGTAAATGGACACCAACTAGGAAGGTCCATATGTGGTAAAAACAACATTCTCTAGTGGTAGTCTTATCCTCGCAACAATGGATGGGGAAGAACTACCACATCCGGAAAATTTAGACATAGTAAAAAAATACTATGTATAAAAAGCTCGCTAAGCTCGAACCCTAAACGGAAGACTTAGTCAAAAAGGAGCGTCCCGGTGGATCGAAAACACCCAAAGGGCGATCCAGGAAAATATTAGGGACATACACAAAAAAATTATCCTGGTGGATTGAAAACACGAGAAGGGCGACCCAGGAAAAAATTAGGGATCTTATTCAAAGAAATAAAGAATAAAAAGATTGCGATCTAAGAATTACGACCACAAACCATGAAGGAGAGTGATGGGTCCAAATCATCCAAACTCAGAAGCAAAGAAGATGGGAGCTATCAAAAGAACATTGGGGAAACAACAGTAGAAATTATCATTTCATTTCCATTTAAAGACTTTATTTAAACTTTTTATAATTACCTCTTTCAAGGAATTCCATCTTGTACGCTCGCCTATTCATAGGCATATTTATCAATAAAACTTTGAAGTTTTTCAAATCTTTCAATAGTGTTTTTTCTTTTCAGACTTGTTTGCAAAATACTACGATTATTTTTGGTGAATACTATTTGAAATCATTTTATGGAATTGACATACAAATAAAAGCATTTGATAAAGACATCAAAAAGCATTTTGGTTAAAAAATGTCGAAAGAAAATCCACGTCTATGTCCATGCCTACGCCTGCGCCAGCGATACAAAAATTACATATGACATTTTACCAGTGTTCACCACACTTTATCAAAATTCAAATCAACTTGGAGATACAACAATTAGAAACAAGCAACATTGGGGAGTTAGTGATTACGAGAACCCGATGGTTTAACAAAGGAGAATTATCAAAAACATTTTTAAAATACATGGGGTATACACATACATTTGGGGCATATAAACACATAAGCATTTTGATACATGAGCATTTAAAACACTTGGGGAATATACAGACATTTAGTACATATACACCTACATTTGGGGCACACACATTTAAAACATTGGGGCATATACACACATTTTGTACATATGTAAATACTTGGGGCACATATCAAACTAGGGCATCACATCAATTTAGGTCATTATGCATATACATCATGCATGGAATCTTACAAAACCACTTTGGTAAAATTACGAATTTTCTTAGGGTCCATCATTAGCAAGCTTATCTGTGCGTACTGGATAGTTCAAACTTTAAGAGATTTGAGGTTTATTTCTTCATGTTGATAGTCATGGTTGAGGATGACACAACTAACATCAACGATGAATTTGGGGTTTAATTTCTTCATGTTGATAGTCATGGTTGAGGAAGACACAACCGACATCATCATTGAAATTTGGGGTTTATTTTCTTCATGTTGATTGTCATGGTTGAGGACGACACAACCGACATCATCATGAATTTGGGGTTATTCCTTAATGTTAATAGTCATAGTTGATGACGCCAAAAAAACGACATCATCAATGAATTTTGGGGTTTACTTATTCATATTGATAGTCATGGTTGAGGATGACACAACCAACATCATAATGAATTTGGGGTTTACTTCTTCATATTGATAGTCATGGTTGAGGACGACACAACCGACATCAATAATGAATTTGGGGATTATTTTCTTCATGATGATAGTCATGGTTGAGGACGACACAACCGACATCATCATGAATTTGGGGTTTATCTTTCATGATGGTAGTCATGGTTGAGGATGACACAACCGACTTCAGCGATGAATTTTGGAGTTTATCTTTCATGTTGATAGTCGTGGTTGAAGATGACACAACCAACTTCAGCGATGAATTTTGGAGTTTATCTTTCATGTTGATAGTCATGGTTGAGGATGACACAATCGACTTTAGCGATGAATTTTGGGGTTTATCTTTCATGTCGATAGTCATGGTTGAGGACGACACAACCAACTTCAGTGATGAATTTTGGAGTTTATCTTTCATGTCAATAGTCCTGGTTGAGGATGACACAATCGACTTTAGCGATGAATTTTGGGGTTTATCTTTCATTTTGATAGTCATGGTTGAGGACAACACAGCCGACTTCAGCGATAAATTTTGGGGTTTATCTTTTATGTTGATAGTCATGGTTAAGGACGACATAACCAGCTTCAGCAACGCATTTTAGGGTTTATCTTTCATGTCGATAGTAATGGTTGAGGACGACACAACCGACTTCAACAATGAATTTTGGGGTTTATCTTTCATGTTAATAGTCATGGTTGAGAATGACACAACCGACTTCAGCAGTGAATTTTGAGGTTTATTTTCTTCATGTTGATAGTCATGGTTGAGGATGACACAACCGACATCATCGTGAATTTGGGGTTTATTTCTTCATGTTGATAGTCGTGGTTGAGGATGACACAACCGACATCATCGATGAATTTTGGGGTTTATTTCTTCATGTTGATATTCATGGTTGAGGACGACATAACCGACATCTGCAATGAATTTTGGGGTTTATTTTCTTCCTATTGATAGTCATGGTTGAGGACGACACAACCGAAACAATCAGGGAATTTTGGGTTCCATCGCTTCAAATCTGGCATATTTCATTTGGTTAACGAGTCTTGGTTAAGGGCTGACACAACCAACATCGTCTTTCCAAGTTCCAAATATCTGGTTTCAAGCTCGTAGTATCTATCCTTTAGGCTATGGTAGGTAAACGAAAAATCTTTGGCTCATTGCGTTAGTCTCTAAGCAGTAGTGTATTATCAAGCTCTATGTTATCCATCCCCTGGGTTGCGATGAATATATGAAATTTGCATCACAAACTTACTATATAAGTCCCCAAGCATTAGTAAGTCAGCTTTTCAAACTTGCATCATTTACCTCCTAGGTTACGGTAAATATGCAAAATTTACATTCTCTTTTAGATACCGACGAGTTATCCGCGTCATCATGTCTAAGTTATGATACATCATCATCTACGCCTACTCTTCATACTCATGGGAATAATCTACAACATATCGTCATAACCAGTCGAACAAATTCTGGGGTCTACCAATACTTAATAAACTTCTGATCAAACGTGTGAGATCTGCGTATTCTTGCACTATTCAATCGAAAGGTAATTAAATAGGGATAGTTGTCATATCCCAAATTTTCCCACTCTTTATTTTTACGGGTAAAAAATATTTTCAAACATTGATTTTATAATATTCTTTAATTCGCTTCCAAACCTATTTAAAAATATAATAATTTATTCCAGATCATTTATATTTCTGAATAAATAAATACTTGCTCGTCTCCATATACTTTTAGTTACATTTGTATTTCGAATAAACAAGATAGCACAATTGATAAAGAATGAAGCTTGCAAGTATGAGGTCATGGGTTTGAATCTCACTTGGTGCACTTTGAATATTTTTTATTTATTTATTACTAACTATTTATATTTTTAACAATAAAAAGTTGTTTTTTATTAATTAAATATTATTTTTGTTTTTATAATTAAGGAATTTTTAAAAATAATTATTTATTTAATTTTATGAACTTTTTACAAAAATTTAATGCAATAACTATAGTAAATATAAAAAATATTGTCTTTTCTAATTAATTGATTCTTATTGGTCAAATGGTGTCATTTTATGTCATACTCAATCTCTAATTGGTTAGCTTACTGACCAAGAAATTTTTGGTAGGCCAATCAATTTTATTTCCTAATTTGTTGACATAACTATCATTATAAATAACTCACTATTTCACACTAATAGGACATTAACAATTCTCACAATTTCACTACACTTACACTATTTTAAACTTTCACTTTCATACATTTTTTCAATCTCTTTTCAAGGTTTCTTTTTAATTATTTTTTGACCGATGATTTAATATGAGGTTGCGTTTTCAATATTTTATATTTAATTTGTGTGTTCTTATTTTTCAACCAAATGATAATTCTTGATGGTTATTTTTGTTTCTTTGAAATTATTTTGTTTGTATCAACAATTTCACCTACGATCATTCACTAGGATAACACCTAGAATTTTTCTCACACTCCAAATTTCTCTCAAGCCATTTTGTACATACATTCTTACACCACAAAATTATTTAACCACTGTACATACATTCTTGCCCTTATATACTATACTTACAAACACGTTCTTAAGAACTATTTTTTTATACTAATAACAAACTTATTTTTTAGTAAGAGTAAATTCTTATTTTTACTTGTGAGTCTGATACTGTAAGTTTTTTTATATATAGAGATTAACTCACAAATTGATCAACTTTTTACACAATATCTTGACATAAATTTTCTACATAAAACACAAATTCAAAAAATAAAAATCATTGATACTAACCATAAAATCTCCTGTAAATTTTTTTTTAAATTTTTTACAACAACTACAATACAAAATGTGCAGTCCAATAAAGAAGGAAAAGGAATTCGAAGAGAGAGGATATATGTTGCCGACCATCCACCATCGGCCTCACTCTGTTTCAGATCTACTCCTCCACAAATCACCTCGGACATTCTCCGATTCGCATAACCACCTGCACACCATTCCAGATCCACCGCGATATTTTGTCGCTAACTCTTTTGTTATCATTGACGCTATATTAAAATTGGGGTTTTCTTTGTTTTCTTGTTTGAGTCATTTTGAGATGGGTTGTGAAGGAAATTGTAGAAGAAGGAAAATATTGTTGTTAGGGTAGATAACCATGTGAGGAAGAGAGTGGGGTTTATATTCTCTCTCATATTTTATTGTCATTTTTCCTTTATTAATTTTTTTATTACATGCAATGCCAAGTGTCAAGTTTCGATTGGGTATTATTTTATTTTGAAAAGTCAAATTCATTTATCATTTAGAATGAGAAATAGGCGATGCCCTTCATTATAATGCTCCCAGGTATGTTTATTTTTTCCTATTACTATTGTTATTATAGGAATTTTGGTTTATAAATTTATTTGGGCCTTGGTCCCTAACTTTATATCTTGCATTCCTATTTACACCTCCAGCTCATCTAATTGCTTTATTTTGTTTTAATTACTTAGTATACTACTTTCAGTTAACTTCTAATCGAGCCATAACATTTATTCATGTTGAATTAGCACATGTATTTTAATTTAGGTATTTGATTATAATTAACAGAAACATAAAAGTACAAGAATATTACTTATTTGGAGTATTTATATTAACTTATAAGTAATTTTAACTCGACACATAATTTCAAATAATCTTCAAATCAAAATTAATTCAATATTTTTACAAAGATATTAAAATACACGCAACTCACCAAATTCACCATCCGCGAGCAACACATGGTCAATATCTGGCCACGTGATAAGGGAGACTTCATCAGACTCCCTCCACGTACTTTATGACGAGCAACCCGTGGTCAATATTTGGCCACTTGAGGAGAAAGACTTTATCATACTTTCCCCGTTCTACGTCTCAAAACAACTAACCAACATCAAACCATTTTTTTACTAACATAACAAAAATTCAAGATTATTTTCTAAAAAGGATTAAGCGGAATTACTTTCAAATTAACTGTGAATTGTATCTACGATCACTCAACTTACAATCCAGACAAGGTTCAAGGATAATTCGAAATCAATTCTATGCAATCCTATAAAATACACCAACCAACCATACGGACTACGAATTGGGACTCTGATTCCTCATAAGAGGATACGTAGGCATACGATAAAAATTGTGGCGAGTTCCCCTATTAAAAAATTAAAACCCTTACCCTAAACTTTTAAAAACTAAACGCTGGTATCCTTCCGAACAAGCTAGATGAGGGGTTCCTAACACCTTCCCTTTGTCTAAACGAAATAATAACCTAGAATCTCTGTGTACAAATTAGGGTTTCCTATTAGATTCCCTTCCTTAGGATAAAAACTAGTAGTGGTGACTCAATTTAAATCCAGTTATAACAACTCCGCATAGTGGAAGGTTGAGGATGTCAAAATGTGAACAATGATTGTCTGGTGCATATTAAAGAGGGTCAGAAGATAGATGTAAAACTTGTAGATCTGATAGTTGATAGAAATCAAAGTGAAGACAACGACTTTAAGGTAGATGATCAGAGTGGCGCAACTGAAGCGTGATGTGGTGCAGTTTGTTATGCGGGTATGACTTATAGGAGTCAAGGATTAAACATTAGAAGCTGCAAGGATAATGCAAACTATTGGACATTTCAGGATGGAAGTAATAGGTCAAAGGTTGATATATTAATTGTATCACTGCCCTATCAATAGAAGTATTGATTTACATGTTCGATTTGTGAAATGTAGCATTATGGCAATTAGTTTGGGTGCCAATGTTATCTGTAATTCATTGTGTTGATGTTCTTATGACGGTATTTTTGTGCGATGAAATGATAGAGACGATGTTCATATCGTGAGACTCTACGTTCTTAATCAATGTTGTTGTCTTGTTTCCATAGAAAGGACTCGAGGGTGAACATATTTTTCTTATGAAAAGAAATTAGGGAAGCTTTATATATGGTGACCACTACGCCAAAAATAAGATTATACATCACACTTTAGGAAGCTCTTCTTATCAAAAGCGCTGCTAAAATTCCATTTTAAAAATGCGCTAATTTGGTCGCATACCTTAGACAACGCTTTCTAAAAAAGCGCTGCCTAAGGGGGGTGAAAGTGGTTTGATAAAGTGCTGCCTAAGGGGGTGAAAGTGGTTTGATAAAGCGCTTCTAAAGGGGGTTTTAGAAAGCGCTTGTAATAAATGCTGCTAAATGGGGTAGGTACTGTAGCGCTTTGGAAAAGTGTTGCCTAAAGGGTGGGCTTACAAAGTTCTTTATGAAAGCGTTTCCTAAAGGGGGGGATTACGCACCACTTTCTACTAGAAGTTATGGCTAAGGATGGGCTTATCCAACGCTATTAAAAAGAACTGTCTAAAGTCCTGTTATTAAAAAAAATAAAACACGCTCATTATACACAGTAAGCTTATTATTTTCAGAACACCATTTCCACGCCCATCATAGTACCCTCACGCAGCGCTTAAGTTCCATTTTTTTCGTTTGATTCTAAACAAAACTCGATTCTATTTGTTCCACATTATTCAAGGTTCTCATCCATCTTCCATTCAAGACCGTTTCATCTTTTCTTCCATTCACAACAAAGGTTCTCTTCTCCTCTAGGTATGACTTTTGATATATTTGATAATGTTGATATATAATGTTGCATTTGGTTTAGTTGATAGTGTTAATAGTGTTTATTTAGTGTTGATTTAGTGTTTAAATTGTTGCATTATGTTGTGTTTTATGTGGCATGTAGTTTTTGCATGTAAGGTGTTTGTGAAAATGTCACAATGAGTTTTGCATGTAAGGTATTTGTGTAAATGTCACAATGAGTATTGCATTTATTGATTGAGGGAAAATATGTTTCTATACAATTAATTGAGCTCTAAATTTTTGTTTGTGAGGTTGTCGTGATAACACTTATAGTGTTGAAATTGAAATTGAAATAACTCATATAATTGAAATTGTTTTATTAGTTTAATATTGTTTTATTAGTAAAATATATGTTAGCAACAATATACAAGATACCCCGATTCTTACATGCGTCAAACTAAATTACTTTATGATTTCACTTTTTTTAAAATAGTTTTAAAAAAATATGATAAATTTTAGAGTTAGTTCTAGATATTAATTGCTAAATAATTAATATACATTTTTAGAAAAATATAATTTTACTTTTTTGAAATAATTAATAATAATATAATATTATTATATTATTATTATTATTATTTTATTATTATATTATTACATATTAAAAAGGATAATTATAGTATTTATATTCTAATGTAATTTTTATTCTATTGATTTTTTTATTATAATGAAATTAATTGATCATTTATATAGGTTACTTGTGAAGAGTGGAGTTTCTGAGTGTTTCCCAGAATATTACACTATATAGTTTCAGAAGTTACTGACATCTCTACAGGTATTACGCTTTTCCTATGATTTTCTATGAATATGCCTAATTGGTATTAAGCTTTTTAGTCTATGTCCTTTTTTTAAGTATTGTTTTTGTTTAGCTTACTTAATAATAAGACCATTGATAAAAAATGGATGTCTTCCAATCGATTATCCAAAGAGTACGAGAATAGGGTATTGGAATTTGTTAAGTTTACTGTTGAACACGCCAAAGACGCCAATCGAATGAAATGTCATTTCTTAAGTTGTTGTTTTGTGGATCAGGTTGACGCAGCTGGGTTGCAATCACATTTATTGAGGCATGGAATTGATCGAAGTTGCACATGTTGGATATTCCATGGTGAGAAAAGTAACGAGAATGTTGAATTGGGGGATAGTACGGAATATGCTTCACCACAGTGGTCGAAAATTGATAATGATTTTCCTGATTTTGGAGAAGAAGTAAGAAACCTTCGCTTGGCATTACCTGCGGATGGAATGAACCCACATGGTCTTCAAAGTATCTCACATACCACATGGCCTGTGATTCTTATGATTTATAACCTACCTCCATGGCTATGTATGAAGCGTAAGTACATGATGTTATCTATGTTAATTTCTGGGCCTAAACAACCAGGGAATGACATAGACGTATACTTGAAACCTTTGATTGAAGATTTAATGATTTTGTGGGAGAACAGTATGGAGGTTTATGATGGATAGAGGAAACAAAGTTTCAATTTGAGGGCGATGTTGTTTGGAACAATTAATGATTTTCCAGCATATGGGAATCTATCAGGGTATAGCATTAAAGGTCAAAAAGTGTGTCCTGTTTGTGAAGATGGAATCGATACGACGCGATTGGATCTTTGTCAGAAGAATGTCTTTCTCAGTCATCGTAGAATTTTAAATTATAAACATCACTACCGTGGGTGGAGAAAAGCATTCAATGGAGACACCGAAAAACGTAAAGCTCCACCTGCATTGTCAGGTGACCAAAATTTTGAAAAGGTGAAAGATGTGTGTACTCAGTTTAGTAAGCCTTTTGCACATACGGTTGTCAAAGGTGGGTGGAAGAAGAGGTCGATTTTTTTCAAGTTTCCATATTGGAAGTCTTTGTATGTGAGACATTTTCTCGATGGTATGCATATTAAAGAAATGTATTTGAAAGTGTTATTGGTATGTTACTCAATATAAAAGGAAAGTCTAAGGATGGCCTTAAATCAAGGGAGGAGATGGTAAAGATGGGAATAAGAACTGAATTAGGTCCCGTGAAGAAAGGAAGACAAACATATCTACCACCTGCTGCTCATACTCTATCTAGAAAGGAGAAAAAACTATTGTGTAAGTTTCTAAGTGAAGTTAAAGTTCTTGAAGGATACTCTTCAGATATCAGAAGACTTGTGTCGATGAAAGACCTCAAGTTAAAGAGTTTAAAGACACGTGATTGCCATGTCATAATGGAACAGTTTCTACCAATAGGTATACGTTCTATTTTTCCAGAAAAAGTAAGAAGCACAATAGCTACATTGTGTTTTTTCTTCAGGTCAATTTGTAATAAGGTGATTGATCCTGAGATCTTACTGACATTGCAAAAAGAAATAGTTATTACTTTGTGTGAGCTTGAAATATTTTCCCCTCCCTCATTTTTGACATGATGGTACATTTAGTTGTTCATATAGTAAAAGAGACACAATTGTGTGGACCAGCTTATATGAAATGGATGTACCCTGCTGAACATTATATGAACATATTAAAAGGGT